GTAAATGCTTAAACCACATCCACTYATTCTATATTCCAATTACGTTTGATTTTAATATGATAAGAACAACAATTACATCATGTCTGAACAGATTTAACATTGCTTATGTACAAATGATAATTTTGTGTAGAAGGGTAAACATGGTTTCTTTGTTACTGTAAAATTCTAAAAAATAGTTATGCATTTCCAGAAATCAATTGCGTACAATGCTTCATCTGTAATGCCGGTTTTACACTATGCACTGAGTTAGTTCCCATTAAAGTCGACCGAAGATCACCACAGATGTGACGATATGAACCTAAATAGCCGTTTACAGGCTTTTCACAAACTGGCTTGCACAAGCTCGATCGCAGAAGCAAATTGTTCCGTGCAAGCTTGCAGTTTGTGCAAACGGAAAAATTTGGCTTGATTAAAATGTATCCTCACAGAAAATCCACTTGGGATTGGAGCATTGGCTTGATCGTCTGAGCGATGTAAGGTTTAGGGATGTTGAATGAAATAGTTCTTCCACGTGCGGGATTCCCTTTATTATATTAGGTATCACTTGAATGTATTTATTGCATAATTTTACCAACAAATTCCGCATATTTTCAAACTTTTTATTGACTTAAATAGCTGTTTGGATTAATGGACAGTTTTGCTCAGAAGGCGATTGTAAAAATAAGCTTGAAATACCCTACACATGTTCACAATTTTTTCAAATGACATATGCATTCTGTGACAATAAGCTGGAATTATAGTCGCCGTAACGTAACGCAAGTTTAGAGTAAATAGAAAAATAAAGCTATTTGCAGCAGCAAATGTATATGTAAATATATAGACATTAAAAAATAGACCAAGCTAGTCATTATACGTCCCTATTTGTTTGGGATCAACATTAAATTCTACCGATCCGCGATTTATCAATGAAAAACTGGTGGTAGCGATGAAAGTAGGTACCTACCATATATTTACAAAAATATAATTACTCGGAAAACCAACTCTCCTGCCTGCTAGCCACAGGCGTAGTAATATATGTGTTAATCGATTTATTCTAAGCATGGAAGATTCATTAATTTTCTGACCTTTATCTCTGCATTATATGATTTAAATTATATATGCTATAATAGCAACGCAACATTTTTAAGCATTTGATATCGATTCAATAGGGATCGAATAGGTATGGCTCTTTGCTTATATACTCAAAACAACTTAGACCACTGATCCCTGTTTATAATCGTGTAAAACAGTAACGGTTAGGAAATATCAGGCCGATTTTCCTGCAAATTAAACCACTTTGCACGATTTCTTTTAAGCATAACAATTTATTAATATCACGATTATCACTTATAATAAGCAAAAACACAAGAAATTATCTTCCCCTCTTACTATCATGTCAGTATCACGTACTCCCCTCATTGCGTTATCGTCACGTGTGTTCTTAAATTCTTATGATTTTTTTAATACAAAAATTCGGCGTTGTTATTTTAATGACGTTTTCTTGTCGCTTATTACAAAGTAAGCAAATATGACATGATATGAAATAAACATATTCGTAGCTACCGTTTTCCAGCTATTTCCTTGTTGTTGCTGCTCATATACAAGGTGATTCACGGTCGATGGCGTATTAGACGTTTAACGAGAAGGCGACGCCCGATCTATCTGCAAATTTCTACAACGAAGTCATCGGATATGCTCTATCGGCCTAAAATATTTTCAGCTATGGGACGTTGCCCCTTATACCGAAAAGTACATACAACTTTGCTATTTTAAATGAGACACCCTGTATATTATTGCACGCTTAGATTGGCGATATAGATCTGATTAGTTTTGCATCACGATTCCTATATCTATCTAAAGTGGTTTCCAAAATATTAAATAAAATTAATTATTTTTAATCAAAACGTAGCCCCAAGAAATCGTGTATTAGAATACGATTTCGGAAGGAAAACCTTATGCTTGAGCCCGGCGTACAGCAATTTGTTCCAAATTATACAGCATGCCTTTAAAATTCTGACTTTTTGCGACAATGCGATTTCGATCCCTGGAAGTTTTAAATTTTGGTACTGGGTTAGGAAAGCCCTATGCTTGATTACGGAGTACAGAAATTTGTTCCAAATTATACAGGATGTCTTGAAAGTACTGACTTTTCGCTAGAGATAAAAACTTTAATGTGCCTCAAAAAAATCAGATTAAATAATTCGCTCCACGAACTTGCTGATTAGTTTGCCATGGATAAATCTTATGCAACCAAAATACTTTTCTTAAATGTCCCTATATTAGCAAGTGTAATACGTCCTTTTGTTGAAATATTAGACAATAATTTAATTAAAATAATTTTACCCATGGCATTTGAGCATAAATATAGCAAAGTTAGCTGTATAATAGATTGTATGGAGTTTGCTAGACAAAACGCTTCAAAGGCATTGAATCAAGCTCTCTCGTGGAAGCGTTATAAAAAATCAAACATAATTAAGTATCTGGTTTCTTGTACACCAAATGGTTTAATTAATTATATTTCACCTGGTTATGGAGGCCTAATCACAGACACGTGTTTGGTTGAATCCTGTTTAGTTGAAGATTTTATAAAATGTTTGCAATTCGGTATGTGTGTGATGGTTGACAGAGGATTTAAGAATGTGGAAATCTACTTACGTAAGGCGGGAGTGCTATTAGTACGGCCTATAAGTCTTGTATCTGGAGGTAAACTTTCTAAACCTGAAGCTAAGGAAACAAAATCAGTAGCTAGCTTGAGGATTCACACTGAATGAGTGATCAAACGGTTACGAGAATTTAACATGTTAAAAGAACATGTTTGCTTGAACATAAGTTTGGTCGAAGTTCTTGATTATTTATAATTACAATAGCGTGTGCTTTAATTAATTTACAAAATTGTTTTAATAAATAAAAATACTTATTAAGTATATGCATTTTTAGTTTCTACTCTATACTTTTATAAAGCAATGGGTATACATATGATTTCCAAAATGTTGCTCAGGATTTAATCAAATCTGACAAATATTTTTCATCAAATTTTACAAATAAGACGTCTAATTTTTATTTGTAGAATCATTAGGGTTTGCAACACAGAAAAAAACAAGTTGTTAGTTCACTCACATACATTTCGATTTGCACCTGGGCGTAGGATCTGTCAGTAGGTTTCCCATTTGTTGTGTAATTTCGACACATTTTTCCACTTATTGGGCACTTAATCTCGACAATGCTGTCCTGACTAATGTGATCAGGTGAACCAGCTATTATCGGAAAGTCTCTCGATATTATTAGCCCACAACTCTTAATTTTTTCCCTAGTTTCAAGGCGACCGTTTCCCGCACTTCATTTTCAAAAGATCTACCACGTTTCTTGGATCGTGTGTCTGGTATTCTCTCACCCATGATGAGCGATATCAACGACCCATCACTTTTTGAGTACCGGCTGATTTCATAAGCCCTAGACGCAGTAACGCTCCCATACCTTAGTTAGGACCAAAGGCTATTTTTGTAATGGTCTCTGGTGTCATTTTCAACTGTATTTATGAGTTCAAAGTCATCAGTCAAATGAATCTGATTGAAAACCGTGTCTGAGCATTTCTCTCTATATTTCAGCACAAGTTGGTATATCGATCCACCAAGTACGTCATTCCAGGTATAGCCTGATTCATACCGCAGTAGCTCACATTGACTAAGTTTTTTCTTCCTACCTTCTGCGAAAAACTTTTGCAGCACTATCGAATTTGATGGTACGGCACGACTAACGTTTGACAAGTCAAGTGTGGCAATAAATTTCAAGATACTGGCAACTCTGGATAGTTTAGATTTCAGCCAACAACATTGAACTTCAGTACAGGATGGTTCCTCGGTCCTACGGTCGACCCACGTAAGGAGGGCTATGACATGCTTGCAACCCCCTTGAGCAGCGACACAATCGTGGCATTGAACAGATGTGACTTTTGCTTCGTCTTCAGTAACTATCAATTTGACTGCATATAACTTGGCATGAACTTTACGTTCAATTTTGCAAATTTTACATTTTACGGTGCAAAATTTTCAGTCTCGCTTAAGTTGCACGTAACTTATAACCATACTTGACGGTCGTCAAGACCTGAAAAAAATAAAACTCACTAGAATATTGCGTAAGTGCAAAAACTGACAACTAATGTTACATTTATTAGCTTAACATTATCCACTGAGATTGTCTTTATATATGGGTATATTTCGTAGGTAAATATTTCTTTTTAAATAAATGAACTGTTTTCACTGTGTGCGTAAAAATTGTATAACTTTCGGTGTCTCAAAAATAACGGATCATATAAATAAAAACAAGTGTTATAAAAGGTTTGTGTGAATGAAATTATCCTTAGCACTAAAGATGAATTAGATTGTACTTACAAAAAGTTTTCACATTATGAAAGTCAGATGAGAAAAAGTCGTTATTGGATGCTGAAAACTCCCCCAACATTAACATATCGACTCTGGGCAAGTTAGACCTGTTGGCCTTGATAAATACTTGTTCCATAGTTTTTAATTCCTTTAGATTATTTAGCACAAAACTACGAATAAATAGCAAATAAACTGATTCGACAGGGTTGTTAACACGTCATTGCTACAGCTGATATATAAGCTGTGTTATTCCTTCAAACGTCGTGACGTCATGCGATCTGATTGGCGTTTCAATCAATATGGCCGACTGCTGTGTTTTATACTTTTAATAAATTAAACATTTTATCGATCCCATCTTTTTTATTAGTAATGAGTCTATTTTTCGAATCCTTTCAACATACGTTTTCTTCTAAAACCATTATTTCGTTTTTTACCACCTTTTATACTGTCGTCATGCTTATTGTCCCACTTCATTGGCCATAAATCGGGAAAAAGTGTGTAGTAAAATACCGCATAACAAGTGCAACTGTAGATATTTTTATCAGCATACGAATTGCAGCCGATGCCTGTAAGCACTTTTCAAGTACTCGGTAAAAACAAAGAAACAATATATCTTTTGGTTTCAAAAATGAAACGGTCACGAACACTAGTCTATAAGAGCAAAATTTATTAAAGTGTGGGTTGAAACTGGGCCATTCAGTATATCTAGATTTCCTTTCATATTCGAAATTCAGAGATCCACAATGGGTCAGTCACGAGACAATAACGGCCGTATTTACACATCAAACAACCACAACAAACAATTGTACATATACAACTAATATCACTAATGTGTAACTTGATGCAGATGAAGAAAATGTATATTCATCTTCAATATCTCTAAGCTTCCCTGCATGCTTCTCATTTTGATCAATTGCGATGAGGCTTCCTGAAAAAGAAAATATTTTAAAAACTAGAATTCCGTTGTACAGTCTAAAAATTTTTTTTCACTATCATAATTTAACAATCGTTTTTTTTGACCAAATATGCGTTAAAAAGAACAAGTTTTAGATTCATCCTATTTTCCTATATCTCCAGAACTGACCCTACTTAATTTTTTTCTCTGGAGACATATGACACAATCTGTTGCTCATAAAACTCTACCTGGCTCAATTGAGAAAATGCGCAAAAGACTTATTCAAACATGCCAGTCTATATCCAGGCAAAATTCCTGAAACATTGGCAGGGAATTTTAAAACCGGCTTCTATTATTGTCTGGACATTAATGGAAATAGATTTGAACAATTCATTAATTGAAAGATGCACTAAAATACTCAAGTCGCTTTTCATTTAGTAAGTCGCTAACTGCTTCAATTAAATCAAATTAACAATTTGGCGCTAGAAAGAGCTATTTTAAAAGCAGCTAATTTTAGAGTTGAGGTCGATACGGGCTAGAGGGTTGCTGCTAGTATAAATGGTGCATACATGTGTTTGCCCTTACGTATTACTGAAATGGCTGGTATTACTGAAACTTTTCTAAATTATTACCTGTATATGATTAGCAAACGAGCTGATCATATATTAATCATCGGCTAAAAACCTTCAAACTGAATTTCAATTCTGATTAACTGATTTTTAAACGTTTAGTAGTCATATATGAAAGCCTACTTTTAGGAATCAAGATTGGCTTATTTATCGTCATTTCTTGCTCAATATACATGCTTTTTTGTGATTCAATATACTACATAAAACATTTCCATTTCAAACGTATTAGGCCCTTCAGACTATAAAGCTCTATTAATTTAAATTATTATAATATTTTTTAAAGGATGGTATGGTTAATGTAAATATTGCAATATTCCAACATTTCATAAACATTATTTCATGCTAAGTGTTTAGCAAAAATTTATCCAATATACAAATGTCTCCTGTCATTCATATTCAGGTTTTATATTAATTATATGCGTCTATCGCGAATAATGTCCGTCAAAACATATTTTTCTAGATGTTTTTCAAAGTTTTTGCGCTTTTTTGTTCCAAAGTAAAATCCTGGGACCATTTCTCCCAATTTTGTCATTTTTAGATTGGTTATTGTTCTAAATATTAAAATTGTGTTCTGAAAGAGTGCTGAATTTTGGAGTAAAATCAAAATTGACGCAGCTGCATTCTGGAATTAATTACTATTGTGGTAAATGTTGCTTATCATTCTCCAAAAAAATATTTGACCGTACAAAAGTAACAGCCATATGTCATTAACAAAATTATTTTGTACGCATGATTTCCAAATACCGATTAATTATGCGACCCTTAATTATGCGGCGTAACAATGCGGCCCAAAATGTCACGAAGGCTTAACTGTTACGAAGCCTAAAAAAACAGTTTGGGCGCGGAAACATGATTGGTTAGTGCAAAAGACATGATTTAGCAATAAATAGCGTGCCGCAAATTCGAGTTCCGCTTTATGAAAATGGCTCAAAGACACTTTTTTGGGCCCCATTAAAAGGAAAAGCTCAGTAATTTTAGTAATAGATTATTCTCGGCACTATCGATTTTTACCATACTTCTAGAGCTTTTAAAAATAGCAATTTTGAAAATCTGCAATTCGTCCAAAGTTGAGCGGGCGCTATACAAAATACAGGATAGGATGTTTAAGATAAGGATGCATTGCATGGGGATCTCCGAAACCGTGAGATATACGAAGTCGGTTATATTAGGAAAAAGTTGGACAATCAGAGGGCTTTTTCAAAACTGAGTAGTTCTTTCAATTTTTGAGAGAATCAGAATTTTTGTTTTTGTCAATTTTTGTTTTTTCACATGGGCCGAAAAAAAGTGCATAACGTATTAGGTAGCTGTTTTAATGGCTAATTCAACGATGTTTAACACAGTACGATTTGTACCGGTCTTTGCGCAAAAAAAGCATTTTTTTGTAAATTATAACAACAAATATCCTGAAAGAAGAGAGAAGGGTGTCAACTTTCAGACGTCTAGCGTTCAACTTAAGGAGTACGTGTCATCTACAAAACTTACTAACACCAGAATGAAACTTTTCAATAAATAAAAAGTTAAACAAAAATAGTAATTGGAATAAAAGTAACCTACTAAACTCAGAAGAAAAACCAAAAAAGGGTTTTAATAATTGTCCAAAAAAGTAATCATTAACTTCAAAGCGCAAGAACGCCTTTCAAACCGTTGAATCTACAACACTGAATACTAGATTTGGAGTTATGGAATTAGATGCACCGGTAACTGCATCCAAAAGTTGGCATCCAGTGTCAAAATGTTGAACGTAAACTTGGTTTTTAATGTAACCCCAAAGGAAGACGTCGAGTCCCATCAAGTCTGGCTATCGGGCTGGCCAGGAAACGTCACCATAACATCCGATCAAAACTGCTGAAACAAGTACTCTCGACCTTGTCTGGCATTGTGCTCAGGAGCACCCTCCTGTCGCAAGATCTGTATTTTCACTATGTTCGAAATGTCTCAAAAATTTAAGTAATTAGTATTATACTTGATTTTTGATAATGCAGCTTTTCCGCAATTCAACGGACTTCGTGAGTCTTACGCTTTCGGAGATTCCCATGCATGTTTATCTTCGACACCCTGTATAAGTATTTTAAAGTTTTCTGAAAATAAAAACAAGAATTTCCTCGGCATTATTGATTCGAAAAAGAAATAATGTAGGGAACAGTGCAAATCTCGAGGTTCGCTAACCTCAGGCAGCTGAAATGTAAAGCCGAATTAGGAAAAGTAACCAGTACCAGGATTCTCAATGGATTATTTTCAAGATATTTCCAGATGAACCACAGGTGACATTTGGAGATTTGAATTTCCGCAAAATATTTGTAACGTGTACGAAATCTCAAAAATGCCTAGTGTATTGATAAATTTCAAGAGGGTGATTCATGGTATCAAGGTTCAACTAAACGGATATGAAAAACCCGATGTACAGTTTAGTACTCCCGTGCAGGGTTATTTGAAAAATTATCAACAAGATGATGAAAAGAAAAGTTTTATACATTTGTCTGTATAACCACCATTTTTGGTCAAAAAACATATTTTGGAGAATTGAAATGTTGACAGGTTCTCATTTTTTTGTAATAGAGAACCTTATATTTTATTACATGCTTGCGCAAAGTGCAGTTCTATTGGACAGTCAGAGGAGACCCTACCGACAGTTCTGGAGGTGGTGGGAAATATTTTTTACAAGTGGGGATTCCAACCCAGTGCCACCAAAACAGAAGTTACCTGCTTTCACTTAAATAATAAACTCGCGAGAAGAGAACTGATCATACAATTGGAAAACACCTTACTTACCCACGATAAAACACCCAACTATTATCTTGCAGAGAACATTTATCGAAAACTGCGGACAAATGAGAAACAAGAGACAACATAATTCAAAAACTGTGCTGCACAACTTGGAGAGCATTGGCTTCCACTCTGCGCTCCTCTGCGCTAGGTCTTGTCTCTTCAACTGCTGAATACTGCGCTCCACTTTGGTTAAACATCCCACATATAAATAAAATAGACGCGACGCTAAATAATACCATGAGCATGATTGCTGGTGTCTTCAAATCAACTCCCACGCAATGGCTTCCAGCTCTAAGCCACAACTCACCCCCGCGAATACGACGAATAAATGCTTTTACAAACGAGTATAAAAAGATCGTGGACAACAGAAACTCACCCATCCATCAGGATATGGATGATGCCAATCATAACCAACTTCGGTCTAGACGACCACCAACAAGGACGACAAGGGTGGCTGTGGAAGATGAGTTCAACCTTACCAACGCATGGACTCAAGAATGGACTAAACAGCAAAATAATAGCACGCCGTGCAGGTAACAAAAGCCACCTGGTTTCGATTTACCACGCAAAACATGGCCGCCCCTAACATAATCAGAACCCAACAAGCAAGCAACCATCTCCTTTTTGTGACTGTGGAGAAACCCAAACCATCAGGCATATTACAGAAGAGTGTACCATGCGATCGTATAACGGTGGACCTGAGGACTTGCTGATAGCGAACCCAGAGAAGATAGATTACATAAATAGTCTAGATGTTCGTTTGTACCCTTTAAAAAATATGTTTTATACTATTATGTATCTTGTATTGTATTGCATTCTATATTCTGGTAATATTCGAGGGTTATTTTTTTATGTGTCATGGCCATACGATAAATAAAATAGATAAATATATCTAAGGAACGGTTCGAAATTCAAATCCCAAATTTAGTAGGTAGTTGGCTGAAAACCTAGGATAACTCCCCAGATGACACTAAGATATTGTGTGACATATGGGCGCATGCAGCCTACAAACATTGACATACAAATTTTTCAAAAAATCAGTTTTTTCTAGAACAATTGATATACAGGGTGATTCAAAATTGGCGTCATTCCTCTGGAGGTGTTGTCTGGCGATGTTTTAGGAGTATAGAAAAAATAGCAAAAAAATTAATATGTTATTAAATACTCAAAAATTTGCAAAAAGCTATATAAAAAAGACGGCAACAATGTTTTTCAAGGTAATCTGTCTAATTAACATTGGGCAAATACCTGTTGCTCCGTAATTATGTTTACTCTTTATCCACTGTTATCGAGCAGCTTCTCGTATTATGGATAATTAACTCCTGCTCAGTTTATACCAGTGTTCAGTAATCCAATGGCATAAACTGTCCGTTTGCTGTGTGTATCTTACATACGTGGTATCAATTGTAGCCCTTCCTCCTATTTATTTGGTGCTTGGGAAACTGTCAGTTGTTGTACAATGCTCTGAGTGTCCCTGGAGGGCTTTTCTGCAATTATCTCCAATACTTGCTCCGCTGCGTCTGGAACCCGAACATCTATCGTCCACTATCTTCCTGGAACCGCTCTCCTCGGCCTTTGTTGGCGCGAGTTCTTGTAAGCGTCTTGCAAGCGTGCGATATTTACGAATAAACATTGCAA